AGTCTTAATTCTGCAGTGCCCAAGCCTTCAAGGAAAAGTCCAACTAATGCAAAGTGGAAAACAACATTTTCCATTGAAATTCTACCTGCAGGGGAGTAATTTAAAACAGTGAGCCCAGCAGGGATGCAGCTCACAATCACCCTGGTGCCAGAAGAAACAATGGGAACTTAGCATACACTTACCTTCTCTGCATGCTACATAGCTCAGTTTTCTTCTTTTCTCACTGTCATATAGAAAACTGTTTGTGTGCTCAGTTCTACTTCTCCTGAGCTCAGGGTCAGTCTCCAGGCCTCCCTAATGCAACAATAACACTATGTTTTCTCATCTCTTTTTATCTCGATCTCAAAGTTCCCAATTCTACTTCATCATCCACACAGTACCAGACAAAGGCTTTCATTTAAAACACTAGGAATTAATTCCATACCACTTCCATAGTAATTGGCCTTTGAAGTAGTACCCTCATCAGATGTAGACAGCTTAGGACATCCCCTCCTCTACAATTTTATTGAATATAGTTAAAGGCATATGAATGGACATAAGAGAGGCTAAAGGAAAAAACTTATTCCCAGAACAAGGATTTGATGGATATGTACTGGGGGAGTAGGGGGGAAGGAGGGAATGTTTGAACACTGACTAGAATAACAAGATGGCCTATTTAAAGGGGAATTAAGTTCTGAAACACCATCATAAGCAAATGTTCGCTCTTGCTTTCAGACTGGAAGTCCAATGATGTGTGTCGGATGAGAGCAGGATGTGTGATGGGAGATTCAGAGCATGTTTGATAAACCAGCAGTGCACAACAGAAGCATCAGATTGATGAAACATCTCACAATGTGGAATTTGGTATCTCAAGAGCTATCTCGAGCACCTCATACAAAGTATGTTCTAGAAAGAGTAACTTTAATGCACTTCATAAAAAAAAAAAAAGTAGGGATAATGACTATAATCCAGACAGCCTTTACTAAGTTAAATAATAGTGTTTTAGGCAGCAATCCCAATGAACGAACAAAGCATACTGCTTGTCAGAAAGCAAACTCTGAGGAGGTTTTTTGATTACCTGGTAAAATGCCTCGAGATTGCGAGTTACCTCTTCTGAAGCATTAACCTCTAGAAGATATGTCGGGAACTTCACCTCATCCATCCCAATGAAGGTGTGCATCCAGACCCACAGGGAGCCATGGGGCCTGTCCTGCAGCACTGAGATGGGAAATGCTGTTCCACCATTTCAATTCCTCCCCATCCCTCTCACCTCACATCCTGCTGGGAATGCTTCCCCTTCCCTAGACTCCTAAACCTCCTTAAGAGCTCGTGCTTCCCTGCAGCATAAAGGCAGTAACCTATCCTTCTCTTTCAAGCATTAAAAAAATGTCCCTGGGAAGTCTTTTCTGTTTGATGCTCGTATATACACACAAATACATCACTGTATACATTAAACAGTTTACAATGCGTATGCTGCTCTGATTCCTGATTGTACAATCCCACTGTAGGCAGGTTTTCATTCTCAGTTGATTAAAGTATTGGTACATAAACCATCTGTGAGAAATAAGGATTAGGCAATGGGCTTGGACTTGTTCAGAAGGAAAGCAAACAAGCAGCACAAGTCTCACACAAGTAAAATCCATCTCGTGCAATATTAATCCTTTTGTTGCCAGGAATCAACAATTCATTGGCAGCAGAAAGGAGAACTTTTTTCTTTGGCTCAGTTTAGCTTAAATTTCATGAGGGCTTACTACTTCTTTTTTTGTCCCAATTCAGCTAAAATACCGCACTGAACTGAAGGAACTATAAAGGAGTATAACTCACAGAGTCTACACTTCAGACAGGGTCTTGTTATCAGTGTCATAAAACATAATTTTTGCTCCACATTTTCAAAGAAAACTAAAGCCACAATCTATGCATTCTAGAGATGATTAAATAAAGCCAAGAGGCTGGAACTTAACACACATCATATACAAGAACTTGTTATTTATGATGAGAATTATAGGAAGATCAAACGTAAGAAATGCTTGGTTCCCCATCACCCATCTACACCTGTAGTCTATTCCTTACCTACTCTGGAGTTTAGGAAGGAAAACAAAAAGCCCCATAATATATCATTATATTGTATCCCTTTATATGCAAAACTCTGTTAATATCACCTCACATGAGATACATCTGAATATGGATGCATATCATAAAGATGCATATGCTGGACATTTCCTAACATTCCGTTATTTAATTATGCAACCTAAACAAACATTTTAATGTAGAGTTCAAAGTTTCTGTCATGCTCAGTGACAATAGCTTTAATGTCTTAAGTGCAGCCTCCACTCTGAAGTCCAGCTCCACGTGACAAAGACCATCACCATTACAGGTTGCCTGAGCTGGCAGCAGAAGATGCTGTCCCACAGCAGCAGGCACCTGAAGCCATATCCTGCTTCCATCATGCGAAAGGCTGCTTCCCACCTTATTGAGCAGCCCAGGAAAAGCAGCAAAACCTTGTGCTGAATTTGGACAGAAAGGGAGTAGAGCCAGGAAGAGCATGCTATTGCCCATACTCCAGTGGTACATGATGTTGTGGGTGTGCTGGAAACAGCATAACATGATCTTAAGGCACCTGCTTGTTCAGTTTAGAACAGCTACGTAATCTGATGGAAAAGAAGAGTCACTGAGATTTCCAGTCAAACTCAAGATATGGCAGTGATGTTTTTTAGTTTGTTTGTTTGCTTTTAAGCAAAGAAAAACATAATGTATTTGGCTATCTTGGAGGTTTCTTTCTCTTCTCCACCTCATCCTCCTTTTGCAAATGACAGGAACCAGCTGCAAGCAATACGATTCAAAGCCTTATAAAAGACAAAGAATCATTCACAAGGAATATATTAAGAAACTGAAGCATATTGTGACCCTTGATAGGACAAGGGGAAAATGGTTTTAAACTAAACTGAAAGAGGGGACATTCAGATTGGATATAATGAAACAGGCTTTTTTTACAGTAAGGGTGGTGAGGCAATGGCGCTGGTTGCTCAGGAAGGATCTGGATGCTCCATCCCTGGAGACATTCGACTGAGTTGTAGGTGCACCTGTTCACTGCAAAGGAGTTGGACCAGGTGGACTTTAAGGGTCCCTTCCAAACGATTCTATGACCTTCTTCATCTGCAAGTGGACGGAGACCATCAGCAATGTGGAAGCATCATGATATTTAACACATTATTTCACAAATAACCCTGTACTTTTCACATGACTTGCAGAAGCATGTAGAACACAGGAAGGTAAGCCTGCAATACATACCAGGACTGATACTTACTTACCTGTAATCCCACAGTGCCCATCAAAACATTTGAAAAGTAAGAATGAGCAATATTTAGGAGTGTCAGCCGATGCTCCTGATGCTTATTTTTAGAAAGTCATCAAGAAAGCACAAAATAAATGAGGTCCTTTTCCTTGTCTTCTAAAACAATACACACAGACATCACAAACGTGACCACAACATGCACACTGCATACAGAAGGAGCCAGGACAGATATGAAAAATACACTGCAATATATTCTTTTGATTACTTTATTTTTTTTTAATCTTCAAAATTTTCTGCCTTCAGACAGGAATGCATGATAGATAGAAATGGCTCAAACATCTTCACATGAAACACTCTTAATTCATTCACAATTATTTTTCTAAAACATCTACTGTTACATAATCCCACCCATTTCCATCCATTATCACAGATTTAATTATTTGTTAAACAGTAGTTGCCAGCAATTGAAAGCTGTAAGGCTTTTTGCATATTAGTAGAGTCTTCTGAACTACAAACACAAGAATATCACAACTATATCTCTCATTTTACATGGCAACCCCAGGTGACAGATGTTCCAAATGAAATGTGTTGCTTACATGGAGTTCATAAAAATGACAGAGAGCTCTGTGCCTCATTAGCTCTAAAATTCTTTTTCCTTTACTAGGATAATTTTCTAAACCTATGCCATACTCCTCCTTTGGAACCATACAGTCTGATAAGCTGATCTTTATCTTCCATTGCTGCTTTTTGGCAAATCTGCAAGTCAGGCAAACTAGAGCTCTCCAGTAAAACACTATGTACAGAGCACAGTTTAAACAGATGGGTTGCTTGGAATCCATTTGTCCCTCCATCCGAAGGGAACTACTTTGAGGTTTTCTGGAACTGTTGTAAACAAGAGGATATATTTTTTAATATATATATATGTGTGTATATATATATTTATATATTTTATATATAAATGTTCTAAATGTCCTTTGGGAGTCCATTTATTTTTTATCTTTCCAAATGATGACTAAATACCTGATCTGTAGCATTTCTCCTGAGAAGATACTAGTAAGGGAATGACAGTTTTGATGCACTTTGGAATGGCACAATCACGTAAACGCTTGCACAATTAAGACTTATGAACTCATCCAAAGTATCTAAACATGATATTCTAACTAAGAACTAAAATACCAGCACAATGCAGCAAGTTAAAAAAGAAAATTCTATGTAATCAAAATATAAACAAGTACATAGGAAATGGATATCTGTCAGTAAAACTATATCTTTTTAAAGTAGGAAACGTATGCACTTAAGAAAAAATTGTAGCTATCTGACAAACTTCATTAAAAAAAAAAAATTACTTTCCAAATGCATAACAAATGCCAAGATATCCCGTAACTGGCCAGGTATAGCCACATGAGAGCTGCATGGCTTAGAGCAACCTGGGGAGAGAGAGGTGGTGGGGAAGTAGGGGTGGGAAAAAACAAAGTCACAAAATATATCAGCAAGTCTGAAAACAAAAACAAAAAAAATATCACATCATCTAAATTGCTGTATGCTTCTATCACCATTGCTAAAGGAACAGAAGGAGAGAAGAGAAGAGAAGAGAAGAGAAGAGAAGAGAAGAGAAGAGAAGAGAAGAGAAGAGAAGAGAAGAGAAGAGAAGAGAAGAGAAGAGGAAAAAGAAAAAGAAAAAGAAAAAGAAAAAGAAAAAGAAAAAAGAAAAAAGAAAAAAGAAAAAAGAAAAAAGAAAAAAGAAAAAGATTGCAGTTTAATGATTCCTAGAGTTACCTCTAAAAATTAAGAAAAAAATTACCGACTAATACTAATACTAATCCCAAGCACCAATTTAATAATTTAAGTTAACTGTATTTTTCTCCTACTACGGATGGAGCAAGTTCTGCTTGAAGGCTTAAAGCTTAACTCTGGAGCCCATCTGACTTGTGTTCTTGTCGCACATTCTCTGCCATTCACATCAAAGTCACTGTAAAGACTCTCTAGGCAATTCTTTGAAGAGACAATTGGATCCTACTGTTTAAATCAACTTTCAGGTCATGAAAAGTGAAACACACCAGTATTTGGTTAGTCTGTTATTAAGTAGCCTAAAAAAATGGAACAGCTGACACCATTCCTCAATAGGATTTGCCTTAGAACTAGCAGCACCCAGGGCAGACCAACTGTGAGCATGTCCAGACTCCACTAGGAATTAGTAGTGTTAGAAAATTGCATATGTGTTAGATCAAGAAGGCATTGCCATACACGTGGCATCATTACATTGTTTTTCCTCTATTTTTCTCACTAAGAAAAAACAAAGGAAAACAGCCCTACCAAGAGATTTTTGGTTTTTGTTTGTCTTCGCACCTAGAAAAAGCAGCACAGTAACTCCTCAGCTGGAATTGCTCAGTGCTTCCCATCAGCTTAGCTCTTTCAGAAAGCCCTTTCACATAGGTAAGGTGGTCTATCTCAGCTAATTCTTAGAGCTAACCTTTTTTTCCAGTATATATTTCATGCCACTTCCTAACAGCAATTTCAGAACTACAATGGATCTATGATAATGTCCACTACTAACTTTGACCAGATCTTGATACAAACCATCGAAGCCAGGCCCTTGGGATGGTTCCACATATTGAACTGAAGCTCAGACTAAAAATTTCACCAAAACTCAAAAAGCTGGAGTGGTCATGAATCTCAGCTACTTTTGCCTATTTGAACCCTCACCCTGTAATGAAAGCACGCACACCAAGGGACAATAACAACCGTCTGAGCTGGGAGCATTATGACTCTGGCGAGTTCTCCTGCTGCTCCTCAGTGACCGTGGACTCGCTGTGCTCCTCACTCGTCTCGTTGGAGGGCTCCTCGTAGCCTGGCTCGGCGGGGTCCAGGCTGCTCCCATCACTTTGCTCCTCGCTCTGTTCCTCACTGGCCTCTGCAGACTGCTCCAAGTTGCTCTCCAAGGAGGCCGGAGAGCTGCCAGTTACACTTTCAATTTGGTTCATTTCGTTAAAAGGCTGCGGGAGGGGAGCAGGAGACTGTACAGCATTCTCACTGGCAGAAATGGGCACTTTGGTTGCACCGATGTCTACAACAATGTCATTTTGTGGTAGAGTTACCTTCTCCACAAGTTTCCATTGGATAATACTCATGTCTTTCCCTCCAGTTGAGATCAAGTGACTATCACTATGGGTAAAGCTGACATTTGTCACATGACTACTGTGAGCACTGTATTTGTGACTCGGAGCCTATTAAAATAAGCAGGAAAGAAGAATCACACATTTCATTACAAGAACACAGGATACTGAAATCTAAAGTTAATATTGTTCAGCCCTTCATTCACATATACAAGTACCAATATATGCTTAGATTTCCCATACAATAAATCTTCTCTTCTTAATGTTTACAACTCAGGAAAAATTTAGAACATCATTTGAAAGGTAATGTACACCAAACTAGGATACTAGGAAAAACTTCTCTGAAAGAGTGGTCAGGCACTAACAAAGGCTGCCCAGGGAGGTGGTGGAGTCACCCTCCCCGGAAATGCTCGAGAAACATGTAGATGAGGCACCTAGAGACAAGGTTTAGTGGACATATTGGTGATAGGTTGATGATTGGATTAGATGACCTTAGTGGTCTTCTCCAACCATAATGTTTCTATGAATTAAGGCCTTTGAACAGAATGAATCAAGCTTCTGCTCCAGAACTTAAGGATAACTATGGCTACTTCAGTATATATATATAAATAAATTCACGTTATAAAAATCTTAATCTTATGAACCAACTGTTACATTAATGGATAAAAGTATGCTTTCATCTCTAGTGCTGTTCTCACAGATTTGGTTGCCAGTTTCCAAAATACTTAGGCTGAAAGCAGGTGTCTGGCAAGGAAATCATCATGTAGTGCAAACATACACATAAGATCAGACTGGTCTAGACTTACCTTTGGCTTGGAACAGGGATACTGAAAGAGATGGACCTTACAAAAATCATCAGCAACTGCTATCACTTTTCGATTATGGGATCTGACAAGAGCATTTATGTCTGTCCCATCTGATCCTTCAGGCCATACTCCTAGGAGAAAGGAGTGCAGATATTTGGATAGCAGATATTTATCAAACAAAATCTATACGGCTGTGACAGACAAGCATAACAAAAGAAAAACAAGAAATTCAATTGGAAAATGGAGCAGGTGTTGAATTAAATGTTGTAGTCATTGTCAGCCTAATGCTGTTCTCCCACAGTCCCTTCTACCCTCAGGCCCTCAGCCCTGGCCCAGATAATCTCTTGGGCTTGATATATTTCCTGGTGAAAAGCTCAGTCTTTCCTAACGCTGATTTTAAGATTAAGTTTGTTGCTTAGACTAGCAACTCTTAAATTATCACAGACTTACACACGAGCATTTAAAAAGCAAGACTGCTGCTGAAGTATGAAACAAGGCAAAGTACTGTACATTATTCAGAGTTTTTTGTTGTTGTTGTTGCAATTTTTAATATTTGCATGATTCAACAGAGACGACTGATGATACTTTATACAGAAACCCAGACTGCAAATTTCATAGATGAAAGCGCTGTCAACTGCTTAAGTACAATTCAATATGCTTTTAAGTAAAAAAATAAGACATTGATATGTCTAGACAAAAGAATAACAACACTGCTTGGATGAAAAGCAGTTGGATGAACAATCTGGGAAGGGGAGAGTCTGTAGTTTGAACAAAAATGAAGACCTCAGAGATTATCCTAAGAAAACTGGTGATTGACACCTGTGAGAAAAACTGAAAGAAAATTAAGCAAGGTGTTGTAAAATAGAAATTTATGCCAATGGTGGCAGATTTTGTAGGTGAGAGTAATTTTTTTGATTAACCTGAGAGTTATGAAGATTTTTTCCCTTCAATTTTTTTCCACCTCAAGAAGGATTTTGTGCCTGATTTACTGAAAGAGATATCGACTCTAAGATATGAAAAAACCTTCCTTATAATCACTGGCTTTGGTGGAATAAAAAGCACATGCTTTTTTAAAAAGCACATCACCTTATACAGCAAAAACCTCAGACATAGCACTACCTTATCTTTTCAAACACCTACATTTTCTTCTTTTTAAGCAAAATGGCAAAAAAACATTTAACTTTAAAGCTGTTTTCCCCCTCCCAGTTCTTCAGTGGGTTGAGTGAGAACTTCATTTTCTCTGACCAATAACAAAGGCAGCTTATCACATTCAATGCAGTGCCAACAAACTACATGGCATATTATTTAATAAAGGCATGAAATGGTGCAGAAGGTATTCAGAAATATTTTAATACTCTTGCACCAATGAATTAAATCTGAAAAATATATTAAACAATTTCCAAGTAGCTCAAAATGAATTAATTTTAACTTTTTCCTGCATTCCTTATATAAAATACTGTCATCAGATGGGAGGAATAAATGAACTTAAAGCCATTTTCCTGAAGTTTCAGATAGCACCTAAGGCAGGCAGCCCTAAATTAGCTACGCTATTTCCTCTTCTTTTTAATTTAAGATTAAAAAGACTAATATTCAAGATTGCGTCTCTTATTAAACATTTTTTTTGTGTTCAAAAATTCCTTCAGCATTTATAAATGCCAGACAATCTTTTAATATAATAAAGTAGGGTTCACTTTCAGTGCAGCTGGAAAGCATGGAAAGCTAAGGCATTAAAGTGACCAAGTTCTGAGTTTTTAAGAGCTTTAAAATAAGAAAAAAAAAACAATACTGAAATAATAGGACTTCAACAGCTGTACTTCAATTTTAATAAATTCTGCTGGTCAGGAGTAAGCCTCTCAGAAGAATCTGCTCAGAGGGAAGTGTGGAAAATGTGCAGTAAACAAGGAAGCAACTTCAAGTGCTCAGGGTGCAGACTGAGGATACCACTAAGCCACTACAGTAGTATTGAGAGCCAAAAGGGAGTGATGCTATTCTCATCCCCACTGTGTGCTTCCATCTTCTTTAGTCTGCCAACAACAGTGCAATGCCTGTGCCTACAGACACCATCCATAGAGCTGAATCTGTAAAACACATGCTCCTGAAAGCCTAAATCCCATAAACTCAGCGCTCTCTTCTGAACATCAAAGTGAGCAGCGCCCAGGTTTTTTTGGATCCCTGAGCCAGCTCACTCTGGTGTCAAAGCCAACAGAAAATATCTGCACTGTCTGATTTAATGGGAAAATTATTGCCTTTGTCTGGGACCAAGCCACAATTATATGATTCTGAAAGTGGTGTCAAAACACCAGACAATACAAAATTAAAGCATGATGAATCCTGTCTAGCAAGTTTAAATACGTAGGTTGCTCTGAAAGTAATACCTCCTACTTATCTCCATGGAAATTACAACAGATGCAAAGAGCATAATAACACTATTTGATAGAGCAAATTCTTGGCTATAAAACACTCATTTTTAATACAGTCACTGCCATTAGCTATGTATTTTTACCAGTGATGAACAAGAACCTGCATGATCCAATGTTGCTGTCACCACCGATGAAAAGCACCACCCATTGCCTCACTGTGCTCATTTATATGCAGTGTTTGGTCTCCATAAATGTTCAGCAAGCATTGATAAATGTCAGTGAGTACCATTTACGCTGCATGGAAGGATTCTATTCCAAACCTTTGCTTCATATGCACTTCCATTTCAAACTCTTCTGGGAAAGTGCTTAGATCAGCTGCTCCATTTACTTTTTCTCTCTTATACCACCAAGCGACATAACTCTATCAGTAGCAACAAAGCCATCTTCTGCTGCCCCCAAATTTTTGCTAGATAAAAGTACTCCAAATAAAACAAAAAGTGGCTTCAGATCTCAGGCTATGCCAGCAAGAGCAGTCAGTTCATTTGCCTTACAAAGTGCTTTCACTGCTCCTGGAGAAAGGTCATATTAGCACAGAACAGAGAGCTTTGATTTTGACATTATTGTTTTCTGAATCTTGATATTCCACTTCAAAAATGCATTTGTGTTATGTTATTATTTCAGTTGTAGCTCCACAGCAGCAAAATAAGGAAATGACTACTATGAACTGATAGCTTTAATCAGCTTGGGCTTACATGTACAGAGCATCAAGAGGAAACAGCCATCCAATCTAAATTTCACAGACAAAATGAATAAAAACATGCACATAGACAATCTGGTACACATTTATCTGGATAATGGAAGCCAATATTTTTTATTAAAACTGCATTAAGCAACTGCATTCAGCTCCAGAAAGAGCAAATGCCTGTTTATCTTTGGTACCTACTCTCAAGTTCTGAATATCTAAAAAATACTTGTGGCAGTTTATCTACCAGTCAGAATCCTTCCCTGATCCCTCTATTCATTTGGCTCTGCCTCAGATCTTTGGAACTCAGAGACATGAGGCTGGTTATAAAGCCTCCAGATTCCTTCCACCTAATATCTACACCATGCAACAACATTAGTGTTAGCCCCCAAAAAACCTGCAAACTTTTGATTAGTTGCTAACTAATCTTTTGACTAGCTGCTCATTAAGCAACTGACAATCTAAAAATATAAATGATAGCTGTCAGAAGCTAAAACAAAGCACTTAAGTTACGTGATTTTTTTCTACCCTGTATAAACTGATATTCAGAAATGAACTCCTAGCAGTTGAGAAGAAAAGATCTGTAAACCTAACCTTCCCTTCTAAAGAAACTGCTGATTTGCCTGCTTTTGGTGCTTCCTACAATGTGAACAACTGAGGGAGGTATCTGATTAGTGGTAGAAGTAAAACATTCAGCATCCTGCTCACACAAATTGGATTGAGTAGTACTTTTCAACCTGACACAGAGGAGCAACTTGTTTAAGGTCAACAGAGATGCCATCAGCAGGAGCTGCTTGGACTAGTTGCATACAGTCCCAAACTAGATTATTAACGTATCTGTCAGCTGCGAAATTATTATTTTTTACATTTTAGAAATAAATCATTAGGTGTACAATCTTTTACTTTCTAAGCAGTATTACTCTTAAAAACCAGTGTCTATTATTCATTTTTTACTACAGCTATCAAGGTGCTGTCATGACTGTAAGTCATGAACTATCTTACACTTGCATAGTCTCCTATCCCAAATCAACATACGAAAAGAGCAATCTACCTGTACCATAAGAACACTTAAAAATACCAGCTTTTTAGTTCAAACTTCCCAAAGATGGTAGTCTAAAATGACAGCAGAAAAATCAAATACTACGCTTCAAGATTTAATAGATATCAATTACAATTACGCTGTGCAGTATCCAGTGGTCTGTATCATAGACTAGTGCAATAGTCAGTCTCTTTGGGCTGTCCTCTCCATCCCAGAAAGAAATCACAAAAGCATCAAGTAGCTTAAAAGCAAATTAAATGGTGCTTACCAAACACTTGAAAGCCTAGCACACAAGTGTATGTCGTCCAATCTATATCCTTACAGTCAGAACGATTCCTGATTAACTTGCAGCCACTTGGAATGTCCCCTGTAATAAAAGTGAAATAAGAGTTACAGCATATACCCTCACATTTATACAGGTGCTCTTTAAAGATGCTAAAATTAATAGAAACAGTAACAAAACAAATCTTAAGACCAACTTGGAATTGCACTGCAGAGGCAAAGATACACCAGTACCTTCTAGACACCTGATGTTTTGCCCAATATCTAAGAGCTACATTTAATTTTCATTTCCATTTTCAGATTAGCATACCTCAAATGCACTTGTAGTTTGAGTCCACTGCTACTGTAGAATAGCCTACAAAATGTTTTGATGCAATAAATGCTTTCATGTAATAGCTGAATGACTCCTTCCTACCAGCTTGATGAGCATACTAAAAATCAGTCAACCATTCAGGAAACTCTGCTTTTAAAGCAGTGAGAAACTACTGCCAGAGACTACTTGGACTTGCAACTACTTGGACAGCTTTTCAACTAGATATAGAAAGGAAAGACTGCTTCCCAACAAAATGTCTCTTTCAATAAACCAGCCCAAAGTCAATGGGTCACAGCTCTTCGCTTTCCTGTGCAGGCAGTTACAACCACCAACACTTCCTTTTGCTACAGTCAGGCACTGTGCTATCCAGATTTGAAGCCTAAGCAGTGACAAGCAAAAGGAACATGTCAACATATCAGATATTTAAACTTCTGGCTCTTCTTGTCTATGCAGCAACAGAACTGTAGTCCTTTTTTTCCCTTGCTAAAACTATATGAACATTACAAAAAAATAGTGTAGGCTGATATACACTAAACAAGTTGAACTTGTGGCCTAAAAACTATATATTAAATTCATATTTTCACATATAAAAATGACAAATGCAAAAACAAGATAATCATTAATTCATTAACGTAGTATTATTGCTTTTCTCAGTTCTCAGCATCACCAGTCAAAGTTAACAAACAAACAACTGAACAGAGGCACAGACCTGCTGATTTTATCCCTCCAAAATAACCAGTACTGTTGACACAAATTAGACAACTATATATATTATTTTCAATCTATGGAGATTTGAGCCAACATCAAAACGTAGCGCCACTTGTTCTGTAAATTCTAAGCTGTTAACTTGATTTATGACCTTGTAAAGAAGTAAGCTATATTTGGCATTGCCATTAGGTAACACACAGCTCTGAATAACATCAAGATATCAGGTTACAAGAGTTCAAATTAGTCAGCGAGCATTTTGCAAAGACTCAAACACATTCTTCTAAATATTGTGATAGTTAATGCATGCTTTTGTTTCCAGTACATTTCACATCATACTTACAGTATAGTATTTCATAGTCTCCTGAGTTTGACATTATATGCTTGTTGTCTGGGGACCAATCAAGGTGTGTAATATAGCTGGAATGTCCCTAAGGAAGAATGCATTAACATCAACATGAAGCACACATTTTAAATAAAATAGCAGCAGAAGTTGCAACCACGGATGGGACAGCTAGCAGGAAAAAAGCACCTCCCCACCCACCTCCAGCTACTTGCACTCCTTTAAAGGCTGCTTACTGCCCAGAGCCACACTCACTAGCAGCCAAACACACACAGTTGGGCACCCTGCCTCCCCACGGCATGGCGGATTCCTCACGGGTAAACACTGTCGTCCCGCCCGGACCACAGCGTGATTTACTCCGAGAAGGTACACTGCTAAAATACTGATGAGCTCACATTTGTACTTTGTACTGCATTAAGAAAGAATATACCGTGACTAATTTAGAAAGACAAGTTAACGTGCAATGGATCACTTTTGGATCTCATCAGAACACTTCATTTCACTATCCATTCAAAATAATTTCAAATACATGCATCCACATTGAGAGCATTTCTCTCTTTACTTATCTTAAAAACTTAGGACGCTTTGATCAGTAACCACCATGTTAAACTGCAAGATAAGGAAGCATTACAAGAAAACCCCTACAATCTTTATGAAAGCTTCTGCAATGTCTTACACGGCACATATACTAATTAATACCAACTTCAAATGGAATCCTCCTATGCTACATAGGTCACCCTGCCTAATAAAAACACCTTTGCCTGATTGCAGTTACCAGTAAGACATCAAGCACTAAATACCCATCTTTGGTGCTGCAGGAGAAACTAAATGTGTCTGGGTAGAATGTTTTACTTAAGCATTAGATATTTTTGCTGACAGTAGTAATACTAAGAATAAAGATAAGAGAGTCTCCAGAGAAGCTGCATATTTGCAAAGGGTAAAATTTTTTTTGTTGTTGTTGTAGAAAAGACATTCCTGTCACTCTTTTCTTCTTGTACTTTCCTATTTCTTCTTTCTGCTCTTCTCTCCAAGGCAAGACTGCTTATTTTCCCTTCCCCAACCAACTGCTAGACAGCAGCATGCCACCTCCATGACAGACAGCTGCCCATTCTCCTTCCTTACTCCTCAGGAAGACATTGGCCCTCAGCTTCCTCAAGGCCCCATGGCACTGCAGCACTGCCTGTTCCTGAGCATCCCATAGAGCCACACTGGAGCATGGACTGGTCCAGCTGCCATGTCAACCTCTTTTTCAGCATGGCATAAGAGATACTGAGCACTTCAAGGGTTATGTGTGGAAATATAACCTGATCTGTCTGTCACTAGGTCTTCTGTGAGAGGGTCTAAAAACACTTAGGAGAAAAGCTATCCAGAAAGATTTATTTATGAACTAATTTTCATGTATTGACATAACTACATTGCAGTCATGGGTAGGATATATTGTATTAACAGGCAAACTTGGCATTTTGACAAAAAAATGAATGCAGTACTGGCTAGGATTCCTTTCCCCCCCTCTTATTTTCCAAGCCTTCAAATTTGCAAGCTAACTCCAAGATGGAAAAGAATTGGTCAGTCATTTACTAAATCCTGCCAGACATTTGGCAGCTGTTAAAATTCCTAGGGGTGGTGGGAAGAGAACAATGCAATTGGCCAGGGGGCTCCATGCTGGAAAATCCCTTCGAGCAAGTGATCCCTGCATGATAACTATTTTTTAAGAAGAATAATCCAAATTTTTATTAAAAACCTTCTTCAGTAGCTGCTACCAATAAAGTAATGCTTTACTCTCTTCTGTACCTTTATATATGATGACCATAATCACTCACATTATCTCTGGCTAGCAAAGTAATTTGACCACATGGAAAATCAATCCTTCATTGGAAATGGTTGTCTGTTTCAGACTTCAGTGGTTTAGGAGTCAAAATGCCCACAGCCTACAGGATGGGCATTTATTCAGGCTAAGCTTAGTGCATCAGACACATGGCTGCTCGCACAGCTTTCAGCTCACAGCCCTCTTGGTAAACGCAGAGTACTTTCTCCTCCTTTGCTAACAGATAGCTCTGCTGTAAGGCAAACAGAAACGGCTGTGGCTAGCCTTGAGCTGCTGAGACATAGGAAATTCATAACTTAGCCCATACCTCCACATTGCTGTCTGCATAGCTGGAGCCCTTGAAAAACAGCTGCACAAGCCAAAGCGGTCATTTCAGCTAATCTGGAATTCCTTCTGATCACAGCCATGGCCACTGCTCACTGCGGAGGCACACTACAGGCCACAGCCATGCCTCTGCAGGAGCCCCAGAAAGCCTCACTGTGACTGAAAGGGGATTTAAACATAACACTGGGAATATAGCCCTTATATACAAACTGATGCTGGTTCAGTAGATAAAATCCTTCTGAAAGTATTCAAACTATGTTTTCAAGTTGGAAGAAACAACCAGAAATTGCCTAGCAGGAGGACTGAGTCATACTACTTGGAGGTCACTCGGTGAGGCTACTGGATGACAGAGGAATGCCAGAAGGATGCAGTGCCAGCACCCAAGCCCTTGCCAGGACTGCCCCAGGTCCCAAGCACTCCTGGGTGCCACCCTGCTTCACAACAATCTGGTTTTGGCCCTCTGGCACAGGGGTGGATGAAACCCAACCGGTATCTCTACAATACAATTGGTCAGCTTGCAGGCTGCTGCTATCTGCTTGGGCTGGAAGGGTCAGAGCAGCTCAGCCCCAACAGAAAGCAGACTGCTAATTTTGGCCTCTACGTGCAGTTGCTCAGACTGAAAAAGAACAGTTAACAGAAATCAGCACTGAAACATGAATTCTTGATCATGCCTAAGTATAACAATGCTTGTTTTTCCCACCTCAATTTTTACAGCCCACATTATGTGCCCTCAGCCAAGGCACACAGATGTATGAAAAGAAGGTGCATATCTGAAAAAGTCTTGGGGTGCATGAGGACAAAAAGGATAGGGAAGGAGAGAAACACTTTCCAGCGGGGTGTTACTTTGGCACAGCTTCAACATCCTCAGTCACTGAAAACTGGTAGTTGATCAATATTCCTAGCTGATTTTGAATTATAAGGCCACTTATTAACACATTTGTTGCTGAAATAAAGCGGCATTATCAGCAAACTAATTGCTCTCTGAAATATTCTCCTACAACAAAAAGACAAGGAGCCTGAACACCAGTTGATACTGGTTTAAATTACAATATGCTCTCTGGAAAGCAACACATAAGATATAAAGAAATAAATGATTTCATATTTCTTCAAAGAACTTGGACAACTTGATGGACATTTTGCAAGCTAAGTATGTATTTTAAGATTAGAGGTCCTTGAGTGATTTTATGTTTTGTACCTAAAAAATAGGTGATGAACTGAAATGCTGTGTTGGGGTAGAGCTGGCTGTCACTACCTTGGCTCACCCCACATCACTCCCAAGGAGTCCCCAGCATGCCCAGTCCTCAAACAGTGTGGACTGGGTGGTGTGAGTTGTCCTCAGAAGAATGGCCTGGAAACTGGAAATCTCTCAAAGATATCACATGTGGTACTAAAGGACTCGCCAACAATCAGCCGTTTCCCACCCACAGTAGGTTCCACTGTGAATCTTGTATCAAAGATCACCAGCATAACATATTACAAAGCATGGTTTAGGCTTATGGTCCTCTCACCCCCACTTTCAAATTAACAGCTTGAGAAGGTCCTTTATTTTTAAAACTAGAGAAATCCAGCTGATTATAAACACATGAGAAGTATTTTGAGCAGGGGATGCATTCTTTAAAAAACAAAAGCCACATTTGATATGTGAACCTAGTTTTATGATATCATTTACAAGTTCCACTGAGGATCAGATGCTCATTATGTAAATATTCCCAATAACCTAGAGAGAGGGCTCAACTAAAACCATGGTGTTAGACATCTTAAAAAGAAAAGGAAAAATGTCTTTTTTGAAACCAATCTTTTTAGCACTGGGATATCACGTAAACACAAGAACTAAAATAAACTTCATTACTTGCACAACATATGCATTTATTTATCCTGGGCCAGAAATTTATTGGTATTATTCCAAATGTTAAAATAAAAAATTCAGCTGAAAATAGTGCTTATATGCAGTCTCCAAAATTATATATTCTAATGAAATTGCATCATCTAATGCTACGTTGGTCCAAGAAGTACTTTATCAGTAGGAATATGCAAGAACCATGACATCAAGCAGTGTGGTGTGCTTGACACACTGGAGGAACCAAGACTCGAGAGGTGGGCCATGTGATCAGCTTGTCTTTGTGGCCCTGCTTTGATCCCGCTCCAACAGCCCCACATCCTTGTACTGGGGGCCCCAGACACAGGATGTAGTACTACAGGCAAGGTCTCACAAAGGCAGAACAAAGGGGGTACAAACACCTCCCTGACTTGCTGGGCATACAGCTTTTGATACAGCCCAGATGGCTGGCTTTCTGGGCTGAAAATGCCCTGTTCATATTGAGTTTTTCATCAACTGACACTCCCACGTCCTTCTCCTCAGGGCTGCCCTCAACACATTCTCTGTCCAGCCTATACTGGTGCTTGGGATTGCCCCAATCTAGGTGTGAGACCTTGCACGTGGCCCTGTTGAACCAACAAAATCCACATTGACAGAGCTGGGGTTGTTCAGCCTGGAGAAGAGAAGACTCTAGAGAGACCTTCCAGTACCTAAAGTGGGTCTAAAGGAAAGCTAAGGAGGGACTTTTTACCAGGGAGTGCAGTTACAGGACAGAGAGTAATGGCCATAAACTAAAAGAGGGTAGGATTACAATGGGTAATGGCAGTAAACTAAAAGAGGGAAGGTTTAGATTAGATATTAGAAAGAAATGGTTACTCAGAGGGTAGTGAGGCACTGGAACAGATTACCCAGAGAAGCTGTGGCTGTCCCATCTCTGACCCCACAAAGGTCACATTGCAGGGGGCTTTGAGCAATCTGATCTAGTGGGAAGTGTCTCTACCCGGAGCACATGGGTTGGAACTAGATGGTCTTTAAAGTCCCTTCCAACCCAAGTCATTCCATGATTCTTTGAAAAAATAACTCCAAAGTGCAATGTTTTCCCAGAAAGACTTTCAGCATCTAAATAAAAGACATTTCTGCCTCTTACTGTTATTTTCCTATTTCAAAGAACAGTTAATAGCTGAAAAACTGTTCACATTTGATGCAAAGGTGTTCACCTGAAAACTAAGTTGCAGTACATATTAAATGAAGTTTAAAATTAACTAAGTGCTAAAAAAGACATAAAAATGATAATCAAAATTAAAAGTAGAAAAACATCAATCTAGAGATTTTCTTTCTGTTCCACTGCTTAACAACTACTATCACATCAAAATACAAAAAGAACTGATTATATTTGCCCCAAAACTTACAGTGCATTTTCCATGTCTGCTATACTTTCTTCCATTTTCTGTTACTATGTAGAGGTAAATAAAGTTGTCATGGGACCCAACTGCAAGTAAGGTGCCATCTACAACAGAAAATTAAAATATTTAATAGAAACTAACAGAACTTTTGTGTTTCAAATCTTAATGATTTCAAATTTATCACTAAGACAATTGTCTCAATTAAGCTATTCCCTGATATTTAAGGTTACATAACTGTTTTCTTTATATTGGTTTTCAATCAGTATGCTTTTATTTTGAGAGTATGTTTTTTGGGCAAAGTCTTTCACCTCTGCTCTTTTAAATTAAAGTCCAATGGATAAAGTACAAATAAGTACAAATCCTCAGACTGCACTACATTTATGGAAATTGTTGACAGCAGGTCAGTTTTCTGTATTACTAAAAATGCAGAACAGTATTTATTCCAAATTTATAGGATTTTTTTTTTTTTTTTTTTCCTGTGGGAGGGGGGAGCAGATTGCACATAAATCAGCACTAAATAAGATCTAAATAGCAAGCGGATCATTCAGTCAGTGTAAGTAGTTTTTTAACCAGTGTTATCTCCATTTGAAAAAAAAAAATGGTTAATGTGGTCAAGATTGCTTTGAGTCACAATTAAATACCTCTGTAGTGTCGATGAACAACAGTGATTTGAAATAAATTACTGTGCTTGGCAGAAGTGGCAGCAGCAAAGGAGCATTTTACTCACTGACACTGCATATTATCCAAAAGCAAAAAAGAAGCAGATTTATGAGATTCTTCTTCTACTCAGTTTTAACAGAGAATTCCTCTGCTGATCTGTCATGCCACCTCCAAGGGAAGAGTACTGTTTTGGAGTACGTGTAATCACGTAGTACATATTTAACAAACAGCTCTGAGTTTCAGACAGACCTAAACGTAGTTTTATGGCTTTGTATTACTAAACTTGAAAAATTAACTAAGAAGGTTATTTTAAATATTAATAATATTTAAATATTATTTAAATTCCAAGCTATTTACAGCCTGAGTAGACTGTAGAATAGTAGAATGCTGATATGTAGCTTTTTCTCTTCTGTTAACATGCCAACAATTTTAAATGAAAATTCTTAATTTCTCTGGGAACAAAGCTGACAGAACAGATGAACGTGAAAGAAAGGCTGGGAAAGGAGACTGCAATGTCTGCAGGTGCAAAGCTCTGAGATTTAGTATACAAAAAACAAATACAAAATCAAATATACAGATATTATTAGTCATGTATTATTGTGATAATTATTCAGGTATTAAGCATCCTAATGCAGGGGTTTTTTTCAAAGCTCTGTCTTTTTCAGTGACTGGAGAGTAGTTGAACACAGCTTAAGGGAACAAACATCCCATTTATCAGAAACTAATCACACAATTATTCTGAATGCACAAGTCTCCCTACCTACTGAATAGCGCATCACTGAGAGCTGCTCATTGCCATCAGTGTGTATTGAGACCAGATCCCTTGTTTCTGCATCCAGAACAAACCACCTAGAGAGAGAAGGAATCCAGTAAGTATCATGTCCACTAAAAAAAAAAAGAACAGCAACAAAAAAAGCAGCAAGCAAAAGAACAATAACATTGCCTTGCTTCGTCTTGTCATGCTAGCCCTCAAGGGCAGCACAGCAAACATCTGTTTTTAATAGAATGCTTTTCTGGTTCACAGAACAATTTTCACTGAAAAATATATAACATTTTAAATGCAGCTGAATTTCTTTTTCGCTCCCTTAAACATTGCAGTAATCACCAAAATGTCTCCTGGCCAATAAACATGCCACCGTATAGAAAATGTGTTGGCACCTTAACACCTTGAAGCTACAGCTGAATTTTGAATCTACCACTAATACTCCATTTTGAAGAATGGCTTGGATATAAAATCTGACCCTTCAATTTGTACGAAGCAAAGGTGAAAAACAACAACAAACATAGTAGAATGAGGAGAGACTGGAAAACACTTCCACTTTCATCCCGTACATGACACCTATTCTTATTGGTATTGTTTGTTATTTAACAGTAACTTCTATACTGCAGTATTAGTTGTACGGAACATCGAAAAAGTTCATAGATGCCCAAAAACCACTGACAGCAAAATGAATAAGATCAGCAGAACCAGAGCCTTTCACGACATTATCTAGCTCCTAATAACAGCAGCACATATTTGCTAGACAAAGACAACAAAAGTTAAATATACTTATATACACATGCACACATGCATGTCATGAAAACAGAAGATGACAACATCGTTAAATAGATAAAAGATGTTAACACAATATAATTTCTGTGTTTAGAAAATCTCAGCACTGTTCACACAATGGCTAAGTTTATGTAACCAGCATCAAACAGCAAGCTCAGAGTGTGGGTATGACAGCAAACTCAAGGGAACAAGCATACTGCAAAAACTAGGACTGTCTACTTGAAAGCCAACATATACAGCCTAAAATAAGCCCTGACTAACAGATGCACACATGGCTGCTTTCTATGGATGGAGCTGAGGTTCCAGCTCATGCTGATCCAGAGTCCAGCTGCTTGGCATCTGGAAAGCTGCCTGGTTCTGATGGTTTAAAAACAGCCTGTGGTTAGAGAGCCACGTGACAGAAAGAAATTGAACAACATGTACATGAAAAAAAGCCCCACATGGCACAGACTGCTGAGCAGTGTGTGTGCAAGGCAGATGGAACCAGTAGAAAACAGCTCATATGTTCTCAATGGACAGCAGCAGAAACCACACTCAATGCTTCTCAGTACTGTAAGCCAAAATGCAGTCTCTTGATTTCTTCCAATCTACATACTGAAGCTTTCCAAGTTATCTAAATGCAACAGAAGTATCAAGTTGCTATTCAGTTCAAACACTGCCCCTTTGTCCCTGTCAAATATTTCAGTAAAATGTTATTTTTTTTATACCTGAGTGATAACTGAGATAGGGTACAGATAATGAAAAACAAATTTAATAAACAGTAAAAACAAATAAACAAATTTGGTATGGGGAAAAAGAGAACAAGAGAGTGTGCTTATACCATATAAATTACTTTGATTAAAAAATTATAACAAAAATTTTGCTGCGATAGCAAAACTACTTTACAATTACACAGGATCACAGAACAGAGAAAAACACACATGGCAACACTACTGACTTGCCAGCATCTGTTTTTCAAGCAACACCAGAAGCTGGTCTGAAGCCACTGCACCACTGCCCCACTCTGGCTTTTTTTTCCCTGCACTCAGCACAGTGTCCAGGCTCCTTACTGCTCTACATCTTTTGTATATGGGCAGGAAAACAGGAGGCAGGAAGACCTCTTCCTCTACCAGAAAACTTTGGTGCTATATGGTAAAATCTGTCTATCTGGCAAGATGCCAGAAAATGATGCCTATTTATTTCTTCCAAGCAGCAGTCATGGTGTCTGGTATTAAAACCTAATTACGAACCCAACAATAAGCAAAAGCTTCCTTCTTTCATACAACAGCTGGGTGCCCCTTCCCATGCCATGCTGTGCAGTGCTTCTGCTGGCCAGCTGCATCCCAAAATATCCAATGAAGACAGTAGTGCTCCTGCATTAGGGACATGGCTCTCATTCTGACACTGAGGCTGGCTCTTTAGGGAGCTCCTCTGAGGTTCTTACTTGAAGTTGGTAACCTTCCTGTCAATGTTTCTTCTGGAACATGAAATATTTTCAAAGGTTGGAAAAACATGCAACGTACAGAAAGCACAGAAGTTGTATTGGGTAGTATGAAACACAAGACAAAACATCTGCAGGTCTTAAGAGTGCACACTGAGTTTCACTGGACATTAAAATATAGCATTTTGAGACACTAATCTTTCTCTAAAGTTTTTCCTGAACAAAAGATGTTAATAGCTGACCATGGAAACAGTCAGCCATGGAAACAGCACCATGACATTCTGATGTTAATGTAGGAAAGTAAGTGCTGGTCACATCTAATTCAGCTGTTTCTTTCTGCCTCTGCAATCTGAATCAAACGTGTTCCCTTTAATCACCTAAGCTCTCCCAAAGCCGTGGCAAGCCTAGTAATAAGCCAGCAAGAAAACATATTTCCATGAAAAGTAGTTTAGCAGCCACAATATTTTATTGGCATGCCTCATACATGCCACGTATCATCCACAGCTCGGTCCACCTTCACACTGCATTTTGAGAGAAGATCTTCCTCCCAACACAGAGGTATACAACATGCAAATGGTAGCAGACCCTGGAAATGCTGCATCCAGCTGCCAAGTGAACTCTCCTGACTGTAGATACACAGATCAGATGAAATAATGCTGCAAGATAGTAGTTCTCCTTCTGATTTGTATCCATTTTTGTTCCATTGTTATTGCAAGCAACATGCTTGACTTGCGAATTAACGTAAACAAGACTGAGTTATCATTATTTTCATCTGTTTCTTGTCACCCTATTCCTTTGCTTGCCTTCTTATTTTAATAGATAACCTATCTGAAAAATAGATTATTTATTTAGAAACAAAATCCCTATAGACAACTCTTTTGGGAAGTGACTTTTAATGACTCACTAACATTTACCAGTGGCAATTTTCATCTGTGAACACACAATTTTTCTGATAAAATCACCAGGGAAACAGTATTCCAAAGTTATATTTTTGCACTAGTGCTTGAAATTGCCACAAAAATAAAAATGAATGTTAAACCTGAAAAGTGTTCAGCGTGTTGACCGTAAAAATCAACAAACCAATCTCATGACTATGTTCATAGGGACATCTAGGCTTCATTCCACAACAAATGCTGAACTGGTCTGTGTTGGACTGACCTACCTCTTTGGAGCTCTGGCTTCTTCCGGCCTTGACCTCCAGCCTTCAGTTTTCTTAATAATGTTAGTAATTTTTACATTAATCTTGCTAGTCTATTTCTTCTGTAGTGCTTTTGAGTAGTTGTATCAATAGCCCTCAAAATATTCTACATTATTAGTCACAGGAAGGTCTGCTTTCCTGAAAATGGTACCACTGACAGCATGGCAAAATTATCTGTATGGTGCTTTGGAAAAAACTCACTTTTCTGGAAAGATTTTCCATTGCCAGACCTTTTGGCTTCTTCAGCTCTGCACTTCCAGCAAACAGTGGCATCAACAAAATGATATTAGTTCTCTCCAAACCAGGCTTAGTCACTGACAACTGAAGACCAAACATTCAGCAGGTATTTAAAGAAGGGAACAAAACCTGCAGCAGATCATTTGCAGATAGTCCCAACAGGGAAAATGATACTGAAATACTCATCATGAGAAGTGGTATGTGAAAGCTACTCCAGAAACATGATGTGTTCATCTGATAACAATGTCGTGAAACTACAGACAAGAATGGGAAGAGACAGAAAATTCAGTTTTCTTCAGATATCACAAGTTCAGCCATAAAACTCAACCTTGTCAGTGCTCCATTCCTAATCCTTGCCTCACTGACCTCTGTACTAGAAACAAAGCAGAACTAGAGCTGCAATAATACACCAAAGTTTGGGTTTATTGAATCGTAAACAAATTAGACTCATTTAACATTTGCTTTATGCCTTTTGGGTTGCAAACTGAGTAAGTTATTAAATGACTAGTTATAGGCCTGACTCTCCTCTTTTACAAATCAAAATTTATCATGCAACCCCATTCCTCTGGGAAATGACTCCCCTAGACTGCATTATCTGGCACAGAAAGCACCGTGTGATGCCACGGTTAGTCTGTAAATCTTAAGCTGTTTTGTTTATCTTGATTCACAACTCCCTCTATTTCTCATCCACTTGTACACTTACCAGGCCCCCACTTCATTTCAGTTTAATTTGTGTTTCTAACCTATCCCTAATCATGTAATTTCAGAACAAAAGAAATAGAAAAGCAAAAATGTAACTGCTTAATTGTAAGAACTTAGTAAACAAAGTTGTTTACTTAGTTGATGGAACTTAGTAAAAAAACAAAAATGAAAACACTAACAACCAACCAATCAAAAAACTCCCCCCAAAAAACCAAAGCCATCTACATAAACTTAACCAATACAGTATAAGTGGGTTGTCTCCAGTAATTTAAATAACATGAATTTAAACTGAAAAGCGCTGAATTGAAAAGGTGATGTTAAATGCTGCAGGGGAAAAAAAAAAAAAAAAAAAAAACACAACAAAAGCAGCCAAGAGCAAAAACACCAGACTGAATGCTCTGACTGCTCAATCTGCCTTGACTGGGCTTTGATGTAATTTCTAAAATGCCTGGTAGCTACCAAGCAATGCGGCTTGATTTTCTTTTTCTTTTTCCCTATCTTAAGTTTTATTATTCCAATACCTACTGCTCTGTTTAATGAAAGTTGAAACACTTAATCAGTTTAATGCTATAATTAGAAAGAGATGAAAATATTGAAAGGCACAACATGGAAATCAAACGTACAGGAACTAAATAAGATTTTTCTTAGGAAGGTACACTAGATTTCCTAGTCTGATTTTGTACCTAATGCATTTACTGCAGATTGTATCATCAACTTGGATAAGGACCACCTTGAAAAATATTTAACATGTAGATTTTCCTAGGAAAGTTAAAGGTTGTTGCATATGCTTAGCAGTTTTTCAAACCCAATTTTGAATGGCTTTTAGGCATGTTGTTAGGTATAAAAAAAAAATTACAGGAGGCAGATTAAACAAAAAGTAATTTTCTTACGTGCTGCTTTACTAACATATGAGTAAGAAATAGAACAAAAATGTCAGTAGATTTCCTAGCTGCTCCTCTAACCTTTCTAATGCTATGAATATCCTGTTTTTTTCTCTTGGTTGATACTTGCTAGAACTCCACCACATTGGACTCCTTTCAAGGGAGATGATACTGAGCCAAAGAGAATTTGGATATGAATTGAGACAATTTTTTTCCACCACAAAAAGATGCCTGAGTTAAAGGTCCTGGCTTGTGTTTTGACAGTTTTGAAATAAGCAACGGTTTTGGGATGAATACGAACAGCTCAACAGCACTTCACTGCAGAAATGTGCAATGCTAACATTTGCCTTACACACACAAAAAAAATCAGAATACAAGCCTGATCATTTGACACTCCAGGTCAATCTAAGAGGTTGCAAGTGTGTTTGATTTGGAAAGGAGAAACGGTCTGTACTTACCAACTAATGTTACATATACAATTAAAATATATATGGTGTTTCATGAAGTCAGAAAGCTCATGAAACCTCCCAGCACCAAAAAAAAAGCCCACAAAAAACCCCAACCAAAACAATAAAACCAAACAAGAGCTGGGTCTTTCATGGAAAAGTAGTTCAAAAAAATAGAAAAGAAACAACTGCCTAACAGTCAAATAATCCTTCTTTCTCACCTGCATCCTGTACAAAAGATCTGCCTCATCTCCCATCTTTTTAGAGTAGTTAAATCCATGCAGAAGAATAAAAATAAAAAAATACATATATTCTGATGGTTTGATACTACAACTCTCGTAAATCTCCTTTAAACTTCTGATCATCACAACTCAGCCAATGCCTGCTTACCGTCCTGAATGCGTTCCTATTGCAACCACCGCTCCGCTGGGATGGAAGTCGGCACAGTGGCCCGGTTCCTAAGTAGGGAGGCACAGACATGTCATTTGCCCACCTGCTCTGCACTCCAAAAAAGCCTTAAAAATCAAAGATGAACTGACAGAGTGAAAAACTACTTGACAGACAGACTTTCTTTTAATGGATCCTTGATATACTACGTGACCTTCTCACAAGTAAAAAGCTAAACTTCTTCATAAAAAGATGCTTTCACCTAGATAGTAGGACAGAATTAATCAAAATATGATCTGAACAATGACTGTAAGGATGAACTTCTAAAGCCAAACCTTTTACATCTGCACTGTAGTCTTTGTAGATGGTTTGAATAATTGGGAAGAAAACTTCCCAATTGAACTGCAACAAGCAGAAAGCACTTGGAGTTTCATTCTGATCTGGAATGAAATCACTAGAATGGCTTTGGACAACACTAACCAGATTACAGCATATACAACATCTGAAGAACCTTGTCAAGCTTATCAAAAGCTTCTGAATGGCTCTTCAGTGCCTCAGTTACAAGATTTTTGCTTCTTTCAATCACATGGGACAAGATGTTTCAGAAAATGAATGCCTTTTGGTTTTTTTCCAGCTTTATATTTAATGTTGAAGGGTAGACATACATCTAGCAGCCTGGTCCATTCCAGTGTGTGGTCCACAGAGTTCCACATACAAACTTGCCTATCTTGAGCACAAGTTAAAAATAAGTCTTTGAAAGGATGTGATGCCAGTCCCCAGAGTTCATCTGTATGTCCCTAGAAAGAACACATTTGATTTGATAAAGTATAAAATAAAAAGTCTCAGATCAACGTACAATCAGGGAAACTTTTACAATTTTAGGGTAATAATTCAAGAAATCATTTTGCTCACCTGTACTTCTACTAGGAAACCATCATTAAATGTTCCACGTAAAACAAAGTTTCGTGAAGTACCCACTAAAAATTGATCTGCTTTTCCTTCTGCTACTGCTCTTATTGTTCCATACTGATCAGGAACCTAGGAAGAGAAACATTTGTAAAGCCACATCACATATCTTAATGCGCACTTACTTCTGAAGGCCATAAATAATGCACAATGGTACTGGAACAGCAATTCTCCTAGTAAGAAGGAAAAATCTAATCACATATGCACTAGGCAAGGACTTGACCTCAAACTTACCTCATTTATTTGTTCATTAGATACAACAGGACCTCACTCCAAAACAACTGGAATTATTCCAATTTAATAGGTCTCAGTAGAAAAAAAAAAAAAAAACCTGAAGTTGCACTGATTTTTAAGCATCAGATACACCAAATAAATGCACTCTACATTCTTACAACTCATAAGGATGGGAACAATATTTATAGTCACTGTCTTCTTTTCAAAAACACATTTTGAAAATTAAGAAGAATCTTGTAGCCCACAGTAAATGTTTCCTGATTCTTAACGCTTCCTGATTAACCTTATGTAAACATTCATATGCCATACGTCAGCAATGACTCCATGTTTTACTGAGCTTGTTTATTGCAACCTTGAACTCTCAGTGCTTTATTTTACAGTGGGCATTTGTGGGTTGTTTTTTGTGCGTTTTTTTCTTCCTAAATGGGTTTGCTTTAGAAAACATGCTTACTTTAATATTAGCCTCATAGGATAGAAAATAATTACAATTGTTCAGAAAGCTGTGTGATAGGGTTCTGGTTATATTTGTCCAAAAAAATAATAATAAAAAAAAAAAATAAAAAGCTTTAACTTAATATATTAACAAAAAGAAAACAAAGATTGATATGAATAGTGCTTTGTTTAAGTCTAAGGGTTAGGATAACTCAATAATTACACTCAGACATGTTTTCTAACGGTCAATAGTGGACTTGGGACAGTAACAAACTCTTTTCCTTAACATTCATGTGTAGTTCCATCAGAATCTTGCTATAAATAGACACTAGTTATGTTGAGTAAATCACTGCTAGAAAAACTGAGAATAAACTACTTCAAGAGGTCATCTATTGTAAGGAAAAAAAAAACACTATTTTTGAATCCGTGATGTACATTTTTTTCCAGTTTATCCTTATCACTGCCATACAGACAAATCACAGGCAGACATTTTCAATAAATATCTGCTTTTTAGATGAAGTCAAGAGAAGTTCCTCAACACAACTAATTTCTGCAGAGTATCCATACTTATCCTACTCATTATTCTTCTAATGTAAAAAGCTCAACAAAGAACTCAAATCCTGATAACACTGCCTTTATCCAGACAGGCAAACTTTACTAAAGCAAATACTCAAAAGTAGGATGAACAAAAGAAACAATGGAAGAGCTGAAGATATAGCTCCCGTGGGCTAATTTCTAGGCTGAAAATTGATATGCTTTTTATTACAAAACATAATCTTCCACTTAAAAAGATAGCAACCAGAAGGTATGCTGTCATCCTAACCGCGGATACTCTAAGGAATAGGGGAATGCTCAGGATTGCTGATCATACCATGTTAATACAACTTCCTTGTCACTCCTGCCTTCTTACCTCAATTTCCCTTTCGGGATTCAAGTCATGATCCCACAGAATGATCTTTCGGTCTTTCCCACCTCCTGTTAGCAGCATCCCATTCCTCATTTGACAGAGGGTAAATACACTGCCATCGTGAGCTTTGATTTGTCTGCTTATCTGATATACTCCTACATGCACAAAAAGAAAATAATACAAAACACCACTCGTTTTGTCAACTGAGGATTACAAGAAACTGCATTTTGGCTTAAAAGTAAAGCAACAGTGCACAATCAATAATTGCATTTGGATTGTCAGGCTATTAGCACTGCATCGTACTGCAAACACAAGGTGGTAGTGTTTTCTTACAGGATAAGAAGATGAAATAAAAGGCGTGTCTTCCTGAATAGAAATGTTTTTTAATTGCTCTAAAACTTGTGAAGACAAGCATAATTATTTGCTAAATACTCTAAATTTCCTGCTATCCTAGGGAACGCAGTTTTTCCTGATGCAAAAAAAACTCCCAAAGTATTGAAAAATATTTGCAGTGCAATTATTAGCAAAGAATTATTTTATTAAAAGAAACTCAAAGACTTGTCTACAGTTTTGTGGGAATGAAAATGAGGAAAAAAAGCAAATTATTTATAGCAAAGTTTCCAGGATGTGTGATCCTAATATCTGATGCTTGATGTCGCCTTACTTAAAAATAGTAAACTAGCATTTGGCAACTATCAATATAGTAGTCTACTCAGAGTGAAACACTAGGAAGAACAAGAGGAATGGAAAAATTAAATGAAAAACAGCATTAAAGGAAATCTCTTGCATTCTAATTGGGTGTTTATTTGAAAAGAACTGCTGTAGGAAAGTATATCTTAACAAGGGAAGATTTTGGGGCTTTGAAGGTTTGCACATATGCAAGTAGTAAACACAGAAACCCTGAAACATCACCCACATAAATGCCAACATAATTCATCTGACTCTGGCTACAGCTGAAGTCTGTTCAAGTCAGCATGCTCTTATGCCGTGAAAAAGCATTTGAGATCAAGTCTGGTTACCAATTTAATGTGATGAAATAACTAAAATATCTCATACTCGATTAAACTGATGTAAATAAATGTTGTATTTGATAACTTTTCGGATTATATATGGAAAATGTTATTTTGCACAAAATGAACCACAAAATTAAACATCAGATAACTTGTTAAATTACTTTTTCATTGCCGTTTGCTTGAAAGACAAGAAAAGGTCTACCTACAGAAGCAGACTTACCTTTAAATATTTGCTTTTTACATGAATGTTTTCCTGGCATACCAATTTAAATCAGAGTGTTTGAAATAGCTGCCAAGTAAAATGAATTATTTTTGAATTTATAAGTTACCTTAGGGCTCAACTGTTCCAGGTCTGCATATGTTGGATAACAAATACTTTTTCTTTCCTTTCTACAAAACTTTTGTCTTAAAGAGTAACTTTAACCCATGTTTCAAATAAGATGGGTTAAAAACTATCCTTTACATCCAAGACTTGAGTGCTGTCTTAATCAGACACTCCTATTTGCATAACTGCTGGATTACATTTTCCCTGGACACAAGTCCTGTTAACAGTATCCCCTGGACTAATGATGATATAACATAAGTCTTAAGAAACAAATGCAGCCTGCAGAATCCTCAAACCGAATCCATGGCCTCATTCAGACCACAGGATGAAAGGAAATATGATTAACTACACAGTTGTAAAATGGAAAACATTTAGATAAAGTTTAGTTTTCTTTCACTTTGGGCAAAGAGAAACTCCAGATTGTTATTAAGTCATCAAATTCATGAGACGTGGAGTTCAGCATCACTTGTTACTAATAGCCAGGTTTTTCTTCCTATTTTGTTTCTAATGCAATTCTTTATATTTGTCTTCTACAGACTGTCTAATCTGTGATTAACTGTGAACGTATCCTACCTTTAGGTCCTTTTCCTGGAGTAGATTCTACAGTAGTTTTGCCCCATATAAGTATTATCCCACCTGAGTCTCCAGTGAGCACATCACCATTTCCCAAAAAAGCCAAACACTGAACAAATTTGGGCTTTTCATATTTCTGAAAAAAATAAGCAAGAGAAAGGGATAATTGCTTGTACTCTACATACTTAGAATAATGTATTCACACCCATACAATCCTGAATATACATAAATAGAATTTAACCTTTTTGTTGTTTGTTTACCACTCTGCTCAATCTATATGAGGTGACAACAAAACAAATTTGAAGAAAGCATGAGCAGACGATTCTATTGATTTTAAACTGACCTGATATCAAGACATTCTTACCCCAAATATCCCTTGCTTCCTTGATAACGAATTGCCACTCCAAGTCCAAAAAAATATATGAGATTTGCCACACGTTATTATGGTATTTGCATCAGTTGGATGGAATTCTACAGCGAGCACAACTTCATTTGTAGTCTGAAATAAACCAAATAATATTTATTCAGATGTTCTATTCTACTTTTACTAGAAACTCATGTAAAATCCCAGGTTTCAGAACAAAGATAGGAGGAGCTACACAGGTTGTTCTATATATGAAAGAATCTGTAAATTCCCTCCTAAACTGGTTGGCTGAATGACTGCACAAATCCTTTTCGTATCATCTATTCATACTTGTTTTTTAGCTTGTTGTTTTTTTAAAATCAAATCTCAGTAAAAAAGTCTGTGCTTTATATTCACTTTCCAAATCACAAGAACTTTGCTTTTTAGCATAGCTAAGAATTTTGCCATGGGAACTGAGTGAAATACAAAAACACGTTTTTGTATTGAACACTGTTTAGTTTCTGCACAGACTTTTCTGAGTAACAAAACTGTGATAGAAATAACTCAGGCAACCGTAGCATACCAGGATTATATACATTATTCTCTTTCTGAAATTCTATAAAAATTCCTTTGCATTCTTTCTCTCTCCATAAAAGAGAGTCAAAAAGAAGCCTGCTCAATTCAAAGCTCTGAAACATACTGTACATCCTTTGTAGTTTTACTGGTTGCATATACTTCTACTGAATAATTAACACCTCAGCGAATATTATATCCCTACCAATGAATTTTACAAACAAACTGACTGATCATTTTTCTGACTTATAAAGTAAACTCTACAAACCTTAATTTGAGGTAATTTTCTGGAGGCAATTATTCTGCATAACACATAAATTCATTTATGCCCTTTTACTTCTATGGTATTTAAGCACATGCCTTAAAAGAGTATACTTAAGAGTTGCTGAATCAGCACCCAGGCAAGAATTGTAGCTTGGCCTCATCCCACTCCAATATTTTTGGCTCACTTGAGGAGAACAATCTTCTTAAATTTAATTTGTTGTTTATGAATGCATTTAGCTCAAGGGAGGAAACTCTCTGCTCACACTGAACCCAGCTGTTGGTGAGGTGCTCAAGATATTCTAAGATAAAGTCCTAAACATGAATAACTGAAGCTGTCACGGCTGATTTGTTTGCTAGCCAGTTCTGAAGCACTAAGGACTGAAGGGTAAAGGTAAAAGTAGTCAGAACACAATATCAATAAAAAGGGAAAGGAAATCTACAGAATGTGCCGAATAGCTTGATATTAAATATCTGCAAGGAATTAAAATAAAAACAAAAGCTGACGTTTAATTACATTAACTCTTATAGAACAGTGCATAGTTACTATTGGTACACATGATTTAGGGAAAATGGGCCCCCAAGACCTGATTTTTGAATTTGCAGGTTTGTAATCACATAGAAATGTTTGCTTATAGAGTATTTCACACACTGATTCATGACTAAAATAAATTTAAAAAAAACAAACCAAAACTCAGTTCCACATCTATATTTATCTGTTTGCTTGTTGCAAGCAAGATGTCTTAAAACAGGGAGTTCAGCAGCAAGTTGTTATTGGATTGGGTGTTGCCAGTGGAATCAGCTTCACACCAAAACTTCTCATCAACCAGAAATTCAGCAGCTCACAAGGGAATCAGGAAAGCAGAACAAATTGCAATCTACAGAAGTGTATCTACCCAACAAATCTATGTCTGCAACCTAATTCAGAGAAAAATGAAAATAAAACATACATATATTTTAATATAAAGAATTGTACACTGAATCATCACTTCAGGTCCTTCAAAGTTCCCAGGAACTATTATTACTTTTTAATTAAGAAAAGACTAGAGGAGTGCTTTATTTAGATTAGCCCTTGGATAAGAGTAAAATTTAATTATGTGTTCCAATATTCAAAACTCTTCCAATGTACAAGTTAAGAACACATTTCTTTTGTGCCCTTATAAAACCCAGCAGTATTCTAATTAAGATCAAATCTGTGTCTCACAAAATTATTGTATTTTTGAGAATAAAAGCATTTGTACTTTAGAATAGGCATCTGTGTTATATTTACCTTTATTTCTGCTACTTTTGATTTTTTCTGCCAATCCCATACAGTGAGCATATGCTCATTAGAGTCATCAATTACACACAAATGAGTACCAGAATCCTAAAAGAAAAAGGCAAAGAATTATCAAACTGTGTTCAGAAACGAGGCATAGCAGTAACATTTAAAAACCACAGGAGTAGAAATATAAATCAAGCAAGCCCTTTGTAAGGAATTATATGATAGTATATCTGGTATTTCCTTTTTGCTTACAGGTAAGAAATATTTTTCCATAATCTCACAACAAATCATCATGTTTCAAAATATATTCTAGGAAAGCTTTAGAGTATCTTGCCAAATCTTTCCCTCCCCGTTCTTCTTTTATTAAATTTTCTAAATAAATATATATAATCATCATTCTAGTAGCATAAATGTTTCTCCCTTTTTCTATTCTACAAACACATTGTTTTTCCTCAAGTCTCAGAACACACAGTTCCAATGTGGTTTTCTTTCTTAACGGTGACCATCACACACACAACTTTGCAGTATTAACATTCAGAAAGCACCTCATCTTTTTCCTCAGAGACATTAATTACTGACCAGCTTCATTATGTAGTTGGTAAAACTGAATGAAGCAAGATAACACTTTCAAAACAAAATGGTGATTACAGAAGCAGAAAAATGTCACATTTACAGTGTTAAATAACTGAAGCGGCTCATACTTGCACAAGCCAGCTGCTTCAAGCACATGTGTAGAAAGATTTGGAGGATGCCTTGTTTATTTTAAAGTTGATTAGTGCAGTTCAGACCACATTCTCTAACAAATTATAAAACAGAGGTGGCTAAAATTTTTATTCCCCAATACTAATGCTATCATGAGCAGTACTACACAAACACATTCCAATTAAGTGGAAAAAAACCCTTGAGAGAGCACTGGCAACACAGACTGCTTTTGTGTGGGTTAGGGGGATTATGTGATAAAAGCGGAGCTCTAGGTACTTCACATTCACTTTTTCAGTTTAATAAAAGTTAACATTCCCAATTCCTTAGATTGTTGGGTTTTTATTTTTATTTTTCTTCTTCTTTTAATTGAATGGTGGCACATGCATTTATTTGCCTTAAAGTTAAAAGGTTCCTGGTTTGTTACAGTGATAGGAATTAGAAATTACAGTTTTCTTCTTACATAATTTTATGCTATACTTTACTCATAAAATAGGCTGTTTTTTTTTTTATATTTCATAACAGACAAAGACATAACTAACTGAGCAATGTTTTGATGTTTGGTGAAATAGCAGCAAGAGAGCATAAGCATTTATTTTTCAACAGGTGTCTGAAGATGCTCAAAATTCAACCGGTCCTCCACAGTCCTACACAGCCTGCCCTGGATGAGGCAATCACGAGAGGTCTCTTACCACCTAATCTGTTCTGTAATTCTGTGTAAGCAAAATACCGCTGGGTTTGGGTTTTTCCGTGTTTTTTTTTTTTTTTTTTTTTTTTTTTTTTTTTTTTTTTGTGTGTGTGTGTGTGTGTGTGTTTGTTTTGTTTTTAAACAACAATTCTCTGCTGCTGCAAGAAGAGCAGCGTGGATTTTCAGGAGGTTGATACCTCCTAGTGATTTGGTAAAAACGCAAAGGCAGCTTAAAGATTAAAATACATGTATTGTACACAAAAAAAAAAACCTCAGCAGCAAATTGGAAATGAGAATTTTATCAGTGACAAACAACACAACACATTTTCATTTCTTACTATTCTGATAAATTCTGTGGGCACAGTGACAACACTTATAAGATTTGTACTATTCTATGTAAAATTACGAAGCACAAATTGATTTTTTTTTTTTAAATTTCCTGTTCATGGATAAAATCCTATTACAGCAGTGCAAGCAGCCAAGCTACCCTTTCCATCAGAGCCCACTAAAACATGTCCATGAAGCTCAGTAACATGCTTGTTTTTAACATCCAAACAAATAAAAGCTCTGTCTTGTCCCACCCCAACCACCAAGCCCAGTGCAGGTTTCAATTTCCAGCCAAGGTATTTCTGTGCCTCCTATTTATTCACAGAGCTTGTTTGTTGCCACAACTCTACAACTGCAATTTCTGTTTTTCACCTCGCTCGTCAGCTGTTTTTATAGAGTACACTGAGACTTTACTAACATGCCTTTAATACCAAAGCAGGTCAGCAAGGCAATCACATTCAGAAGGGTCAGACAAATCTGTTATATACCCCAATAGCAGCATTTGTCTTACCGCTTTCGAAAAATCCAAGCACCCAACTCCACGCTCGAAAGTCCCCAGGCCGATAACCTGCAGTGTCACCAGGCTCACTGAGTCCCACACTCTAACATGGGGCTGCAAGGGCTGTGCAAAAGCAATGGGACAAACAGTGTCATCGACAGCAAAAGCATCCAATGAAGCCATCAGGTTATGACATGCTATCCAAGCAGCAAATTCGGGTGAAATGCAGATGAGTCATTGCTGCTGTTGGACTGTGTCTTGAACCTCAAGAGGCAAGAATTGAGACAGCTTCTGCCCACTGCGTGGGAGCTACAGATATCATGTGGGCATTTGGTACTTGTGAACATAAATCTGCAGTTTAAACCATTGAACAAATAATGGAAGAGCCATCTTGAATTTCAAACCCCAGACTTAAACACCTTGCACAACTGAAAACATATTTTTTAAAACATAAAAGTACGCAGAAAATAATATTAAAAAACACAACCCTAGTTGTACTGAGTCACCTAATTATAACCAATCACTCAAGGAAAACCTCCAAAGGTATATTTCATCTAACTACTACCCCAAAACAGGTTAGCTTCATAAATGCAAAACAATTACAAATTAAGTAGGAATTGGCTTAGGGACAACATTCACCATAAAAAAAAAAACAAACCAAAACAGGAAAAACCACATAGTTAAGCAAAAGTTCAGTGGAAATTACAACAATATCTATACAATGCCCACAGAGATTTCTCAAAAAAAAAAAAAAAAAAAAAAAAAAAGATGTTGAACATTTGAGTAAGGGATGTACTTAATGTGTTTCTATGTTTCAAGGCATCTGTGTTATTTTCTTTTAACCTTTCTGAAGATAATCTCATTATTCAACTTAGCTCACCACGGACAAGAACTTTTAACTATGCTTGTCCTTAACTGAGCAAGCTTTCTAGCAAAGCTTGACACACTTTCAACAGATTCCCAAAGTTGGTTTCCCTTCCCATGAAGCCTTATGAGCACATGGACCCACCGAACCGGGGTTTATTTTCCTCTGGGAGAACAGTCATTGAAAGAGATGTAACAAGTGATGTAGCCTTACAAATCAATTACAAGGCTCACAGTTGCTTGCAGGATTAAATATGAATTTTCCATGTCACAGATTGAAGACTATGAGCCTCTACTCTTTTTGATGTATGGCTGAGTGTCTATATGGTAATACCTATCACTAGAAATATATACTGTTAAGCTTGGAAATAGCAAAATATCTCACTAAATGCAGTGCATAAGAAAAACTGCAAACAGAAGGTGATAATGAAATTAAAAAGAAAAACAAAACAATTTTCCCTGATTTTCAAAACAAGACACTACTGCTCAACAGCTCTATTACTTACCCTTCCATCTTTATCCACTCCAGCTAACTGTCCTGTTGCAATTCTAATTTTGTCTGGATGAACTGCAAGACTAAGACAGACAGAAATATGACTTGCTTTTGCTGTCATCAGCCTTCAGAACTGAGAGGTTTTTTCTTTTTTTCTCTCTTTTTTTTTTTTAATTTTTATTTTTCAACAGAAGCCCATGAAGTCATTTGTGATCCTAGATCCCACTTTCAATGAGACAGCTTGAAAATTTTCTTTGTCAGACTATTTTGTCACATATAATACTGCAAAATCCTGTGTTAATCAGGCTTTTGTAATGGCTGCTGGCATACAACCAGAAGTGCCACAAGAGCCACCTCCACATGTGCTCAGAGAAATAAATCTCAGGTTTGCACTATACTGGGAGTCTACTGTAACAAAATACACATTGTCTCATGTTGAACTTCCTAGATATAGTTACCTGCCATTTTTATAAGCACTACAGCATACTTCATATGCCCAAAGCTTTGGATAGCACAGGTTTGTGCTATCCAAAAAACAGCTAGGAGGATGGTCAAGGGTACACGGACCCAGGAGTTAAGGACTACTGTCTCTAATGAAAATCTCCAATGTGGTACACTCTCAGTGTAAGTCAAAATCTGCTTTTGCTTTGAAGGTAATGTAAAAACAAAACAAAACAAAAACAAACAGATACAATAATTTCCAAGTCCACATCCTCTTACTCCTGCTTATTTTTTTACTAGCCTTGTCATTTGCTTCCTCTGTGAAGTTACGAAGGTGAGGAAACTAAGACAACAGGCAAGACGGAACAGTAGGTGGGGGAATTAATAAGTCAGGATGGTAGACACCAAAATGTTTAAAATTCAGTCTAAGTTTCTGAAAGAATGTAAATAACACAAGTCTGGTGGCATTCTTCCCACAGGAAGCAATTACAGTTATGAAAACAGGCTAGAAGAAAAGAGGTTTAGACAGCAACTCCTTTCTTCCACTCAGGTATAGTAAGGATATACCATTCAAATCAAAGCTCTCTACTACTTTTCAGACTAATGTTGTGAAGTGACCAACGAACTACATTTGCATCAACAATGACATTGGCTTCAATTTTCCTGCTTTTATGTTTTGTTTGCAAGTGTCTTTCTCTTACCTCAGATGGTCTAAATACTTGGATGGGGCACTATTCAAAAATGAGAAAATTATCATCTGTCTTCCATTTGATCTTCTAATTCTCCTTAAGTCTACAAATTGCCATATTGCCTTTAGCTGCTTGATCTAAAAATTTGGTTGACGTCAGTTTTTAATTCTTGGAGTATGTATTTAGAACAATTTATTCAGATACTCCATCTCTAATCTGGCACTTCTAGAGTGTCTACATATCTGGTTTTAAATTTAAGCCAGAAACACTAAGCTAGTGTGGAGTACTCTAGCTCTGTTCATTTGTATGGTGTTCACTACAGTGAAATCTACTGAGACAAATGAAATAAAAGAGTAACTACAATTATGATGATATTAATGAGATCACAGATACAGTAAAAGAATTAAAATAACGCCTTAATGAATTATGACACACATACACACAAATTTTTTATACTAACCATTTAACGCAGTCTGTATGACCCAGGTAGTGTCGTTGAGTTCTCTCTTCATAATTAAATAGTACCACAACTGATGCTATGAAATATACAATTTCTCCGGTAGGAAGGAGGTAAACATTGGCTCTACAATCTCTTCCACGATACCCATATCTATATGCATATTTTTTAAGTCAAGGTTTTATAATCATTGTATATCACATAAAAATAAGAAACAACAACCGTTGAAAGGATGTTTCCTGGGGATCTCTCATGTCACAAAGTGCCATTTTTGTTTTCCTCTGAAACTACAGCACAATTTTAGTAACAGTTTAAAAATATATTAAAAAGAATCAAGACTTCAGAAAAGCGATCACTGTTAAAATGTGATAATCATTGATGTGAAAATGTAAGTCCCTGGGGTAAAACAAATGTAACTGTGTCACCTTACAGAAATTCTCAATGTGAATTTTCATGAGGTAGCAGCAGGATGTCACTATCCAGGCTTAACACCTTTAACAGCAGTAGAGTTGGGCACCTCCATGCTGGGGACCAGTATGTTGGCTCTGTTTGGCTTTTCAAAACAAGCATGTGAAAATTCCTTCAGAAAAATGCAAACTTTGGCACAGCAGCTGCCAAGTTCAGGAAATAGTGTTTTAGAATGCTTTAGAGTATTTTTAAAGCAAATAAATCTTAAAAGGAACTGATAGTAAAAAATAGTCTACCCTAAACAACCCAATATACATAAAACGGATGATTTTTCTAAAAAGCCTGCATTACTTCCCTGCCCCTACAGCATTCAGAGTTTTTAAGCTCTACATTCCAGACTTGGTTAGCCACAATCAAATTTTACTATAACTTATTACTTTGAAACTGGTGCAACTTTCTCCATTTAGACTATTAACGTGGTGGTCTACCTGTTTTTCAAGTCCCACAGTCATTAAGTACTATTAAAATCATCACTCAGACTGCAGTAGTAGCTCTGAGATCTTAATTGTAAAAAACAAACAAACAAAAAACCATCAAACTTTCCTGTTATGTCCTGCACAACACACAAGACAGAGGTTCCCAATTCAGCACCAACTACATCTGCAACAAGAAAGAAAAAACATGCAACTTTAGCTGAAGGATTCCAAGCTCTTGGATAATCAGAAAGAAAGGACAAAGTCAAAGACCAACATGGAGAAATTTGAATGGCTCAAGCCAGCCGTCTCTTATTAAAAGCAGGCATAGTAGGCCAAATTTTGGAGCATCTAAACTAATATCTCCCCACTTGACAGCCTGGCCTCTGTTATTCTTGGACAAGGGCTACCTTTCTACCAAAAATACCACCACACCCCTCTTGATGTCACCCTCCACTCCCAAAAAATCCCCTGCATGCTACCAGCAAATAAAGTTATTTCCTCTTATGTAGTCTCATTAAACTACAGTAATACTATGCCACTAGAACACTTGCAAAATTAAACAAAATCATTAAATACTGTAACTAAACCATGGTTTGAAGAGGGATAATGCATTCAGTCTTCAATTAAGTGCCTTAAGATCAAGGAAACGGAAACAGATTCCCATATTGTAGAATAATACAGTGACTCTGAAGATGAAATTATTCACTGTTTTCTTTAACAAATGATATCAGGAGAAATACTGATGTAACAGAATGGTGAGATGAGAAGAAAGGATGCTTCTGCTTCTTCTTTATCACCATTTAACTTCTCACCAATTTTTCACCTTTAAACATCAGTGGAACAAAAAGAAACTCTAGAATGGCCCTTTACAAAACCAAAACAAAACAAAGTGAACTTTCAGAAATGATGGGCTATAAGCCAATGAAAATATTATTTCTACACAGAAACACAGAGAACACTAGTCTAAATGCCATCTCAAAGAAGAAAGGCAGATTGTGTTCATCTCCTGAAATTAGCAAGGACTGCAATGGCAAGGATTTATTGAGACTGACATCTTTGAACATTCATCCTTTTGTAGCAGTTTAACATGCAAAGCTATGGCTAAATATTTTGGCATCCACTACTGAGCTTCAGTATTCACCAAGGCTGCAAAAATAAAAAAATTGTTTTCTCAGCCCATTCCTTTCCTTCAATCCCTGTACAAATTACAGTACCAAACAGTGGCAGCATTTTTAAGGGCATGCAAAGCCATAACCTGTTTTGCGAGAGAAATTTTTACTTTCCTCAAAACAAGAAGTGTTGCTGCTCCACAGAACGTCTTCCCGTCACCAAACTCCCAGAACAAAGTAGCAGAGATGCATTAATATAATAATTGCCCTTTCCCTACAGAAAAACAAACAAACAAACAAACAAAAACAACAAAAAAAGCCACAAATTTTATGCTTAACTTATACTAAATTTCAATGTTTATCTTTCAGTGAGGCTGATGTTCCAACCAGGGAAATTCAGAGGTAACCGTCTTAATATTGTGAAGGCTTCTCACGAATCACAAGAACTGTTTTGCCATAAAAAAATGACGTACTACACAGATTTTATTGTTTTTTTGTTTGTTTGTTTTGAAGTGGATAAGAATAGTCATGGCCCCATGAAGTGATCTCATTGAACAATAGAATTTAATAGCATTGTTACTGCTGACTTGAATTACTCTTACAAAGAAAAGCACCAGTGCTAAAAATAAGCTTACAAAAAGGAGTCAGAAATTCCCTCCAGTAACTGAGTAACTTTACACTGGGAGAAGGAAGTTGAAAAGTCACTGTCACTCATTAGTAACACTAATGGTGATCTCAGCAGCTACTATAGCAGCCCATTCTCCTATTATTAGGAATTCCAGAGATTCCTTAAACAATTCTGAATTGAAGCAAGACTGTATCATAAAGCAGGGATGTCCAAACTAAATTAAAATGAAATCACTCAAGAAGCAGACACACTCAAGAGCTCAGATTTCCCCATGAACTACTTTATCCTGCCAAGTCACTTAGTTCTTTTCCAAGTGACAGGGCAGGGCAAAGAACAGCAGGGTGTTTTCTACTGAACCTATAGTTCTGGCAATCATTTGTTGAAAATATTCCTACTCCCCAACACAAAAACAAGCAAACACCAAAAGCCCTACCCTACCTCAAAACTTTTTCCCTCTCTTCTTGCCTGGAAGATGTTTATTCTCACAGTTCATCATTTAGCCTGTAAATGGCATGCTACAGAAAGGTAACATCAAAGGCAAGCCTGATTGTAAACAACCATCCAGAAGGTAACTGCCAGAGAAATAAAAGGTGTTCAAAACAAAGCATACAGATTGAACTACCAAACACTTGATTGCAAATCAAATGTTTCAGTTGCAAAAAACTGGCATCACTAAAATACCCTGTGAATCACTGTCCCATGTATTGTTCATAAAGTTCACAGGCTTCAGTCTGCAATTATATTTGGATTTTATGGCTGGCTTGCAGACTTATCAGCCTTTGCATGACTACAAGATTTGCAGCTATAACTTTGTGTCTCAAGAACCAAATGCCAATTTTGTTCAACGTCATACAAATCAATATTATTGCTTCAAAAACTTCCCAGCTTTCTCCTCACTGTTTTCTTCAGCATCATATCTAAAAGATATTCTACAAACAGAAACATACCAGTCTCATTTAGGACTATATTTTCTTAAACAGACTGTAAAAACATGTGGGCATTTTGTTTACACAAGATATATTTCACTTTAATTAGCCCTCAGCACAGAACTGGTTTAACCTGAAATTGAGGTCCTTGGACACTGAATAAGCATTTCCACACTGGGATTTGCACATACTTAGCTGATGGTATGATTTCATGATCAGCTTTCATCAGTCCAAACTTCTTGCTGCTGCTGAAAAAGTACGTCGGACCTTCCTCCAGTGTGCTGGTTGTGCTCCTTGTGCGTTTGTGGAACAAATCAAATTAATGAATTGATCCAGCTGAAAGTTAACTCCACAAAAAAGATTACATTTCAGCCAGATCAGCAACTGACTCAATTCATTCCATGGTCATATTAGTGCCAGCATCAGCACTGAGGAGCGGTGACACTAGGAAAGGCAGGGCACCACAGCTTCGTAAAGACTGAGTAAGAGCTCAGTTCTCTTTCTGATCAGACTAGTAAACCCAAATTCCTCCTTTATGTTCTAAGCTTTTACAATCTTTCTGCAAAGTTGAATGGACTCTAGCTCCACAATTTCTTTTCATAACTGAGTATCCAATATCATTAGCTTCCCCCAATAAAAGCAGGAAAACAATAGGGAAATCATCTTTCCTAAAATGACTAAGAAAGGATAGTTAAAAAAGATGCATGTCTTAGTTGCTATGGGATATGCTGAGAGAGCTTCTTTCTGTACACATCTCCTGACATATGACAGTGCGTCATCAATATTTCTAAAAATCTTATTGCTTTCAGCAAGATCAGAAGGATCAAGCTTCAGATTATTACATCAACTCAAGTGCTGTCTAGACATGTTCTTTTACAGAAGGTCTAAAAAGCTTAATTATACAATCAAAACTTGTTAGAAGATTCTGTAGAGATGGGAAGACATGAAAGAAGGCCCAAATGTGTGCAGAAGCATTTGTTATGAGCTCCAGATTTACTAAGCCTGAAGAATTGTTGACAGCCACATAGCTACTCATCTCCTCAGAAAAAATTATTTACATAAAGTACACCGCTCTCCCCAATAAATGAATCCCTTCAATTCAGAGTTGAAACAAAATTAGTGCAAAAAACTTTGGGCAGATGGTTACTGCAATCGTTTCCCATAGATAGAAGCTATGAGAAATCTTGGATCTTATTCAAGAGCTTCTGTTGATCTAAAATCTCCAGTTACATACACAAAATAAAAAATAACTGTGTTCCTGATTACAGTCTATCTTATAGAGAATATAGGGGAGGAACTTTGAAACTCAGTAGCTCTCCAAAGGCAATATTCTTCCTAAAAATAAACTGCACTTGGTTTCAACAGTAAAAAAAAGTAAAGGTTTTCTGTTTCTGCAACTTAAAAATGTATTATAAAGTACTGACAAACTGCTTTAACTGTTTTGCTATTGCTTTTTTGTTTGTTTGTTTTTAAATATCTTCCTCCCTTGAAGACAAGGCTACATAATGAAGAAGAAAGACAAGGCAAGACAAGAAAATCAAACAAGCCACCAAGAAATAGCTACTGATATCAAGGATACACCCACTCCAGTTTTAACTTTTCAGGAGGCAGCTCAGTCCTAATATCATCATAGTTTTCTACATCAGAAGGAATGAACATTGTGATTGGTCGACCCCGCATGAACATCTTGATATATTCTCCCTCTGTTGAAACAAACAAACAAAATCATATTAATCACATGGCAAGTTTACACATGAAAGGAGCACATGAAAGTAGTACTAAACGGAGGGATGCAAAAACGATTCTGATACAACTATTTTTGAGAAGTGAGCTTGGTAAAAGCTTGGAACAACACACACACACAACACAGGCACAGTAAGTGCTAGTTGAATTTAATAACTTTCTCAACAGACAGCATGTAACATTTTAGACATGCAAATTAAAGAGCTAAGATAAATTTTAAATCTAAATCAAAATGCAAAATTTAATAAATAAATAATCATGGAAACACTGAAGGATATGATCCTTCAGGCTGAAGTAGACCTCACAAGGTCTTTAAGTCTGTCTTCTGGCTCAAAGCTGGATCTCCCAGAGCAGAGAAGGCACAGCTCTGCTGGGCACCTGGCTGCCTTCTCACACTCCCAGGGCCTTTTCTGCAGAGCTGCTCTTTCAGCCTCTTCAACCCCAGCCTGCATCCCTGCTGTAGCTATTCCTTTACATGAGCAGGACTTGGCATTTGTTTTTGCAGTTCCATGAGCTGCTTGCAGGCCTACCACTTCTCCAGACTACCTAGTAGTAAATGAGATTAGATCCTACGAGGGTTTTCCTTCTACTATTAATAAAATAGCAATTTTCTAACTTTAAAAAAAAAAATTAAAATTCCTACAAATAAAACTTTCAAAGACTTATTATGGTCTTTACACTCTACATGTGCAGCAAAAACAGCAGTGTAACAATTAAATCAGGCCTCAAATTCACAAGAATAACTGCCAATACCTTCAACTCCACTGACACAGGAATTGCATTTCAAAATATACTGAGTAAGGGGGACTCAAGTATTTCACAACTTTTGCATCAATTAAATGCTTTTTAAAAATCACACTTCCTTCGATCGCTGCTTTGGTGATAAGTATCCACTGTTAATGTTAATTTCACAAACCTAAAGTAATATAATACTTTGTTAAGAAGCTTTTTTTTTTTTTTTTTTTTTTTTTTTAAGTAAAATTTGAAAACCATAGCAGAGAGAACTCAAGAGTTCCCCAAGTGTAGATGGCTGATTAAGACTGAAGTAGAATAGCTATGGATTTGTAATATAATCTGAAGAATCCTCCAATCACATTTGATGTGACTAATATCAAGCTATAAAAGTAAAAATCTCGGGACAATTGCTTTTATATTACTTTCAAAAAATAAAGATGAGACAAACTTTCTATAAATGCCCTGGTAATGCTTACCAGTATTTCCTGAATTAAATTGCAAGATTATTATCCAGATTGCATGAATGTGAAATCTGTGTTTTGCACCTAAAACAAATCTATATCTAAACATATCTACAAATCAATTTTATGAGAAACTGAGCTTTATTCCCACTGAATTATATTTTAATAGCTCACTCCAAACTTGGAGATGTATAAAAGCAAGAGAAAGCAGATGCAAAGACTGACAAACAGTTGTGAGCCACATCAGAAACATATTCACCAACCTCAAAGCCAGTGTCCTCGTCCTCTCTGAATTTGAATTATCTACACCATTTAGATTACAGAGACATGATCTATCTGATAAGAAACAACTCACTTCTATCTTACAGCCAGAATAAAATGACAGGAAAAAATTTGCTACTATTTTAATCCACTAAGTACGCAAAGCAGTCTTGGACAGAAAAATACACTCCAAGTATTTCTTTCATTCTAACTGAAAACTCTTAACTAGGTCAATGAATCTATGCATCTCAACACTTTCTCTCACATTCAATATTCACTCTGAAGATTTCATAACACTGAAGGCTTAATTTGTCAGAAAGATGTTTTGTTGTTTTTTTTTTTTTTTTTTTTTTTTTGCTCTTGGCAGTTGATTGATCAAACAGCAGTTTGATTTCCTGATGTTTTTACAGTTTTAAAAAAGGTTTTTTTTCTTATTTTTCTAAGTCAACTGTCTGAGGAAGCAGATCCCAATTTATCAAATATACTAAGTTCTCAGCCTTACAAGATACGATTAATGTGACTCATTTTCTACTTCTAGTGTGCTGAAAACAACCTTTTGAGACCATAACTGATTTTACTTGAGTCTTGAGTCTCTCTTAATCCTGTTAGTATGTATGCTTGCTCTGCCCTGGAGGCAAGAGATGAGAATTTTCCTGTTATAGTCCAAATACGACTGAAAGCCAGCACACGAGCTGAGAAAATTCTTCCTGCACAAAAACTGCTAATAACGAAGTAGTGTAAAATTAGCATATGCGTAAAGGTTTTTCCTTACTTTGGATATTAATACAATGAAAGTAGAGCCATTTAAGTATCAAAGGAATCAATACAAAGAAGATGAAAAACAGTTGTCCCACTTCTTTCCAAGAACAAATACAAATTCTTTGAACAAGACATCTGTGAGTCTGTCCATTGACAACAGGAGAAAAATTGCCTCAGATTAAATATCAAAGAACAAAGGAAATCACTTCCCAGTAGCTAAACTAAAAACAATAGTTATTTTGAATGTACACTGCTCAAGTACGTTGCTGAGAAAAGCAAAAGATCTGTGTTATCACTGGTTTGACACAAATGTTTAGATAATTATTCTAAGTATGCCTCATTTTTCCACCAAAGTATTTTTACAGTATATGCTTTGTAAAAAAAGCAGTACTGATCAACACAGAGAATAAGTTATCAATAACGGTCTACCTATTGAAGTCTGGTGCTTGTGCTCTTAAATGGCAGCACTGTGTTTTAAGAAAGATCGTTCATTTCACACGTCAAATCATTAATTTAATGCCAGGCTTGGCACTCCTGGTTCCATATAGTCAGTGCAAAATCATTCCACAAATTCAGCTTTCAATTTCCCATTGCTGCTTAGAACGGCAGAGACAAGCTGCAACAGAGATGCATATGGATGGAGGTAGCTGCACCTGTTGGACCCTACAGACAAGGAACTTCAAGTGGAATTTAGTCAAGTCTTTGGCCTCTGAAGTCTGGAGAAAAGCCTGTCTGCAGGGCTGTCAGATACAAGTTAGCTCTCTGAACTGCCCTATAAAAGAAAGAATATTTTTGGCTCTTATTAGCTAGCTGTGTGTATTCAAGATCATCTTTGAACATACACATTTAACACACTTGTCAGAGAGACACAAAGTGGGTATGACTTGATTAAGCCTCTCTCCACAGAAGGAGGGGGGGGGGGGGGCATAAGAAAAGCAGGCAGACAAAACCCATTGAAAGGTTTTTGTCCAAAGCTGTAAATTTCCTTTCCTCAGAATAACCTGTGGGGCAGATATAATATTAATGTAAAAATCTTTTGAAATACTAGAGAGGAATGGCAGCATATCAACAAAACCATTCTTCAGAGAAACTAATTGCCTAAGGCCAAATTTTTGTAAATGCAAGTTAAGAAAACCAGGAATTTAACTCTTTCTTATCACACTGGCTCAAGTGCATATTCAAGAGCGCCAGACAATCTGCTTATTTTCTGCTTTCTCAGTTTCCAGTTACAAAGCAGTATGTAACTTTTTTTTTTTCCTTCACTTTTTGGAACTAAAGATTCTTTCCTATCTATCTCATAACAGAAATATGGTAAGTGGGTATTAGGAGGAAAGAAAGAAGTTTTAAAGAACTTGGAGGCAAAAAAAAAAACAAACAGAAATCCTTGTCAATTCTGTGTCTAGTAGTATGCAAACAGCAGGTATAAAAGAAAAAAATCTCTGCTCCTCATGAAGAGATGTTCAGACTCCAACATCCACTGCACAGAAGCATTTTGAGGGCGAGGGGAGCAGGAGGGGAAACTTCTAAAATCCTCTGCACTCAAAAAATGATTCTCCAGGTTCTGCTGTCCTACCAGTGCTTCCAAATATGGGTCACATCCACCTAAGAGCACAGCTCCAGACCTGCAGTCAGCACACCCAGGTGCTGTGTAACTGAAGAGCTCAAGCTCAGAGCTGCTGCAGAAGGCAGCGTCATGCAGCCGTATTGCTGAGGCTCTGAAGACCGGCTCTTGTCTGGGAACAGCTGGAGCTGCTTTTGTGCGGCTTTGAGCTTCAATCCACAGCCCTTGCCAGACTTGCTTGGCTGTGCAATAATTCACCTCTAGAGCCTCAGCTATGTCTTTGCACAAGTGCCAGGGGACATCGGACCAATACTCCCAGTTTTGTGCGCAGGATCAGCTCAGGCTTATGAACCTCACATGGGAGCCCCTCCAGCTGTGCTGAACCATGCAATCTCCATGCAGAGCTCTGCAGGATCCCCAGAGGTCTCTGGCTGAGTTAATAATTTCCCCAGAGATGCAAAAATACATGATCCAACACACATCCTGCTATTTGACTGTCCTCTTGCATGATAAAATTTCAGTCTGGCTCCACACAGCCATAAAATTTGCCTTTTATGAACACTGGTGTCTATAACTGCCTGACATACTACAGAGGAGAGCCTACCAGAGTTTTGAGGCATTATTTTTTCCCCCCTCCCTAAGGTTGTGTATGTCTGCTAGAATTACTTCCAACACACAATGGGATTGCATTTATGTTTTCATAATAAGAGGTTCAACCTTTGTGTGATGAAGTAGCATGTTAGAGTCCTTTTACTTACCATCTCATTTTGGCAAACAACCTTACAGGCTTTTATAGCTAAAACATCACTAACAACTCCTGCACATATGATCTTGCACTTTGAATAATTTAATTTTATCTCCTCCTGCTCCAGACTTCAGGAACATCTAGGTCTTCCTGTATTAAATCTCCAGCTTCCACTCTATCGGTTTTGTCACTCAGCTTCACGTCATCAGCGAAATTTCCTGTGCTAAGTTCATTAGTGTAAACACTAAGCCAAATAGGTCCCAGCAGACTGAAAGCAGACACTAGCAAGCAGAGTATCTGCTCTCCTGAGGGTTCTCTGAAAGTTTACGGCCTGCTAAAAAGAGAAGAATAAGTCTGTTGGTGAAACAAGGTGCTGCTATAGAGAGGGACCCAGGAAGCCTGCCTGATCTGCAAGCAAACAAATGCATCTTGCTGACT